GGGGGGGAGGTCGAAGTCTTGCCCAAACTAAAAATTAAATTTCTCAGTGTCGTATTTCTTTGGAACAGTTCCTATGGGCGAGGTGTGGTCTCTGAGAGCGAAATTTAGTTGGGCTATAATATAATGCCCTCCTAGATGCTGAAACGAGCTGTTCATTAGACCTTTGCTTTGGCCCTATAATCAGATAGTCTAAAGCAAATGAACCCCATAACCAATTCCCGCTTTGCCTGGGCCTTTTCCAGACTTTATTTCTCTATTCGCTGTTCCGTGGTTGGTCAGTTTGTCCAATGTACTCGGGAAATGATTAAGTTGCAGTGTTCATAATTTTGATCATGAAGATGTTCTTTCTGTTGGTGTATAGTCTGTGATGGTGATTATAATGGTGGTCTATGTCTAATGGCCTTCCTTTTGCTTCTTGAAAGACGACCGCGCATGCTGCAGGTTGCCTGGGCGGTAGACAGAGAGGAAGACTGCCCAAGTACGGCACACTTTTCTCTTATCCCTTCAGATCTTGATCTCATGATGCTCAAAATGTGAGACATGTCATTATTATACGTTTGGCATCAAAGAAGGTGTAATTAGGGTGTGACTTACCACGTTTGATAAGATAAGATAAGATAAGATAAGATAAGATAAGATAAGATAGTACTTTATTATCCCAGAGGGAAATTTTCCTTGGCTGTACAGAACCGTAAAACACATGCAGGTATTCATAAAAAAAATAATTTAATCATCAATATTACTCTCACCAATTTTTCGATATGAAAGGAGAAGTAAAGCTGACAAAATGTACATTTACATCAAATGCATCATTCAACCACATGCAGGAATTTAAATACTAGACCTTTGGAGTTATATACAGATACATACTCTAAGAGTAACACACATCTATGCTCATTCTGACAAAAGCCTTATGCTAGATGGTAAAAAACTTCTTTTATATCTTTCTTTCTTTGTTTTTGGAGGTATACATATCTGCCGCTGCGTGATCTTACAATTTGTGTGGAAAACGGGTGTACGTGGTGGGTCGTTTATAATGCTTTTTATCTTTTTTATACGTGTGGTGTTATACATTTCATCTATTCTTATAAAATCATATCCAGAGATCTTGCTGGCTTTCTTAATGGTTCTGTCAAATTTTTCTTTATCTTTCACCTTACAAATTATTCCCACCCCAGCAGCAAATACAGCGAGGGAGATAGTACGTTTGATGCATAAAGACACTGGTAGTTTCCTGGGGATATGGTAACGTTAAAAAGTTGTGATTACACTACTGTGAAATCTACACAGTAGTGGAAGGTATTCAACACTCTTACAAACCTGAACGATAATCTATAATTATAGTAATACTTTGGTAGGCCCTAGTACTACTATTTGCATTGTCTTTGCCTTCTTTTCCTTCTTGTTATAATCTACTCTTTGCCTTTACCTTTCGATCAAGTACCCTGCCTTCGAAAGAACATCTTTGTGTCCAACAGGAAGTAAAGCAAAGATTAAAAAGCCAGTAAGACTGCCTCTGATTAGATCTACAATGAAGCAGATGCTCTACAAAGTATCTTACTTTAGAGCGTTCAACGCAGGGGAATAATAAATTATTATTACACGAGACGAGTCCTTTTTAGTGTGTTTCTAGATCTAGATCTAGTCCAGAGAGACTTGGGAACGCCTATTGAAGAGCAGTGAATTTCTCATCAAAAGTCACATCTTTTTACAGTAAAACTATTCCTCAACACGCTCTTACTTACTCTTCTTCAGAATGTCAATGTCACAGAGCCCAGCATGAGAAGTTACAGGCACAAATAATGGACAATAATAAGTTGGGAAATAAAAGATAATTTTTGTCTACCTGACTCCATGACAACGACTTCCGGGTCGTGGCCCAAATTTAATGATGGCTACTGCTCCAGAAGCAAAAGTGTTACTGTACGCTGTTTTGGAATATGAAAATAAACCCGCACATGTTTATTTGACATCCACTCAGCTTCTGATTGAAAACAGTGCAAGACCAAGATCTCATGACGAATCTTTAGACGCTCGCCCGAGTTCTGGTAGGCTTACATTTGTTAGTTTCCTTTCGAAGTTCCAGTTTGTTGTCACTTTCTTTCTCTTCCCATTGACAGGTCATTGTCTTTGTCTTGACTTCTCCCCCAAAATTAAGAATGTTAAAAATGTCTTCAGTTTCAGCTTCATGCTCGAGGAAGATTGAACAATACCAGACCACTTGTATTATTGTTCCTTGCGTGAACCAGATTACTTCCATAACAACACCGCTCTGCCGCACGCGCTTCAATTCAATTCGCGAGAGGAGGAAGGCTAGCATTGGATGGTCGAGTCCGACATTCTTCATTCACACACAACTTGGAAGGGGGGAGGGGGGGGGTCAAGGGGGGTGTCCCCCCTGAAAAAATCAAATGTTGGAGGGGTGGGGGGGGGTTCAGGGGGGTCTCCCCCCCCCGACAAACTACTAATACTAATGAACAGATAGATTCTATATGAGCCATTGCCAAACTGCCAAAACGTGGGGAAAAACACACACATCTCACATTAGTGTGCATAAAATGTGATGCATTAGATCTAGTATTTATTCCTCCAAAACTTATACACACATCAATTATAGGATGTAGAACCTGCATTAGCAGTTTCAGACCCTTTGTCAGCTTTACAATCTTGAGTTTGTAAATTTTGTGCCAAAAATGTTCGTTTTTTAGTGATTCCTGGAGTGTCATTTTGAGCACACCAATGCAAACTTCCAAGAATGTCCAAAATTTAGTATTTTTGGGTGTGTTTTTTTTACGTGTGCTTTGATCCTATGTTATTTGTCATTGAGAAAGGTTAACTTGCTCAAGAAATCGGTTCATTTGTTTGCAAATAGACAAACAATTCGGATTACTTGTGCGTCTGTCATGTCGTCACGGACTAGGTGTTTCAGAAAACACCATTATTTTTCAGTAGAATCACCGTAGCTGGTTAAATTTCTTTGCCTATCGTCGTTTATTCAATACTTCAAAAGCCGCGATGTGCGAAAGGAACATCGGGTTCCTAGATTCCTAGATCTACGATTTCGGTCGGCTGTTTAACATTCGCCGTTATTGTCGTCAACTTGCGACGTGCCGGAAGTCCGAATTTTGCCCACTTTTGTTTTGAACGGGTCATCAAAAGTGCACGAATATAATTGTTTTCTTGAGTGACTTCCCCTTACCCGCGTCCCCAGAACAGTGGAAGCAATGGGGGAAACAGAAAAACGAAAGTAGTCATTGCCTTCAGCGTCCGGTGACGCACAAGAATTTTGAGTTGAATGATGAATGTGACGTACTGGGCTGTTTTGCGTGTTTTTAGGCTACTCTGTTGAATATTTTAGTGAAATTGCGGTGTTTACACTGGATTCCTGGAACAAGAGTGTGATGTGTGAACAAACTTCGAGAGATGGATCATTTCTGTGGTTATAGATTCAGCTTTTGTGCTCAGTGATGACGTTTGGGGTGTCGTCATGCAGCCGTACAAGACTGACTAACGTACAAGAAATTACATTGTCCTAAGAGCAAACATTTTTTAAGTAATGTGTGCTCTCTTTACTCAAACAAATAAACAAACATGTCCTTGTTTATCTAACTCAAAAATACACATTTGTTCTTTGTTGGTATGATATACCTTTTCCCAATACATTGTGTCATAATTGTTATGTACAAGTAATATTTTTCATAATTGCTAATATCAATAAGTTTTCAACATATATTTCATACATGCAAGATTCATTTAGAAGCAAAATACGCCTTTATTGTCTGTGTATCTCTTGGTGCAAATTTGTTCTTTGTAGGCATGATTTTACCTTTTCCCAGTATGTTTTGTCATCACTGTTATGTACAAGTACTGTTTGTCATAATTAGCAACATAATTGTGATCGTCCACTGTCTTTGATATGACCTGGTATCTGTTTCAAAGCAAAAGAAACCTCTCCTGGTTTTTTTTAAATTCTTAAAGTGCGCTTTTATCTCTGGAGGCAAGACTTTTGTCTTTTCCTGTACATTGTGTCATCATTGTTACGTACAAGTCATGTTTGTCATCACTGTTATGTACAAGTCAGCTCCATTGATTTTGTGCTTTTGCCTCAAATTAGTTAAAAAATTGTTTTACACATGTGTTTTTCTGGTACTGAGGCTTTGATAACTGTATTTGTACAGCCTTTCACTATTGTGATGTGTTGTCAATGATAATGTCCAATGTGTATCCTTTCTTGTACATAACAATGATGACATGTTCTGTGCACTGCGTCATTGTTACAAAGCTTGCCATTCATATTGCCATTATGAATGGAGTTCATAGTGTACAAAGTGTTTGTTTACTAAACAAATGGAATTTAAAGTCTATAATTTGCCTTGCTGCTTATCTGTTTTTGTCATCACTGTTACATACAAAAAATACAGTAGTTGCCAAACCAATAGACCCATATCTCCAAAACCCTACATCTCCTTGCTCTGATACTCTAGGAATATGAGCACTAAATGTCAATCTGTGACTGACAGAAAAGAGAGTCAAATTAGTAAGAAAAATTGTTTTGCACCACTGAATCTCAAGAGAGTCTCACGTTTTGGCAATTGCTCATATACCGGTCCAAAATTCTTCATTCCGGTTGTAAGAAGAGGGAAGTTGTTTGGGGGGTTCAGTGGGGCTTCCCTGACTGACTACATAGTCTGTCTGACTACACAGCTCATTTCATTCAATCTCATGAACCCGTCACACACTGTCATGACCCCCTCCCCCCCCCCCCCCCCACTGACTGAAGTTTCTTAGGCCATTCCATTCCCAAAGAGGGGGGACATTAAGTTCATTAACCCTCGTCCTGCGGGGGCCGGATTTATGTCGCCTGATATTTATATAAAGCCGATTTCGGCACCACGCCTTTGTTCTGGTCTCGCGTCAGTGTGGCCCTTGGCTCAGCGCACGCGCGCCTAGCATCATCTCCCTTTCAATTCGGGTCCCGCATCTGATCCGCCTTCACCCACGCAGCTCAGGTGTGTGTGCGTCAGTTTGCTTGAGTTTGTGTGCATTTGTGTCCTTCTTCTAGAACCGCCTGCGTTGGTTCGTAACTGAGGCATACAGATCATTCAAAACACGCCAAGTTGATAGCTTTAGATTTTCGTCCAATGAAATTAAAGAACAAATTGATCTACTTAGACATGAGGAGCTCGAATGGATAGTCAGGAAACAAGACTTCCATTTTCTATACAAAATCTTTGAATTGAGCTTGATTTTGTATGAAATGATACTACCTGATAAAAAATAAGCTTGTTTGATAATTCTGAATACCATTGTGCTGGTAAAAAGAATTATTTGAGTGCAAAACATTCGGAAATTGACCTGTATTATCCTCTTCTGAACCCCAGGTCATTCATCGCAACAACAAGAGCGTCTAAAAAGGTTATTCGAATGGGCGTAACTTCGTTCTTTCCAGTTTATGAAAGGGGGTTATTCATGTGTTCGTAACACTTTATAAATAGAAAGCTATAAAAAGATAGAGCGTTATTTTTGTCATCGATTAACACACTCCCACGGTGTTCATGGTGAAAACACACGTTTCCCAGCGCATGTGCTGTACACCAACAGTACACGCTGAGTGACCCCGGCGGCCTGCCCGGAATGTCGTACATAATCGGTTGCTGATAAGATTTGCGTCTCAGCACAGACGCAGGACAAGAGTTACTTGTTCTATGCCCCGTATTGTAAATGGGCTGATTAAACAATGTCATGCTCATTATAACTGTGCATGAACTGCAACACGAAACTGCTGCTTTTTCTTTCCTAATCATTACTATCGTCATTTTGTCCTCTACTTCTTTTGTATGTTTGTCACTCTCTTGTGACTTGCTATTTCCAGGGTGCTTTGGTGGTCGAAGCAGACTTTGTGCTGTTGAAGCTAGAGAGGGGAACAGAGTAAGCCTGGTTCCCTGTAAAGACTTCTCTGTTGACATCCACCCCTTAGCGCTCATATATGACCTTTTATCATGCCTTATTATGCAGTTGCGAGTGCTGTAAAACCTCTACTAAAACTAAAAACACACTGTCGTCAAACAGAAGGCACAGGGCTGCCCATCGTTACGAATTTGGCAGATCATTCCTTGTCGTTATGATTTTTTTTTTTTTCAATTTTATGAATACACTACTCTAGGTCTCTTTAGGCCTAATCATTGCAACACCCCTGCCCCTGATTCTGCTTAAATTATTTGCTGTTCAGGTAGCCTATCCCAACCAATGCCCGCCCTCCTCCTAGTGTATCTAGGGAAAAAAACCCTCATACCTTGACATTCATTATCACTATATGTCACATGTTCAGCTGTCTAACTTTAACATTAACATTACACTCTTTGTGCTCAGCCTGTAGTGGCCCATTTCAATTTTACCCTTCTAAGAAAAATATTAGTTGTAGTGCCAAAGCCAGCCTGAGTGTTTGATTTGACAAGATGTTGAAAAATTCCTTTGCTTTCCATTTGGTTTTCAATTTGAGAGAATTTAATATTACTTCTGTGTTTATCAGTATTATTTTACCTATGGTTTGAAACATAAAATTTCACATATGAAAGGATGATTTCTGCATTTTGATGGTACTTGTTTTAATGTAAAATGTTTCTGATATTTTGAAGGAGCACCGCATCATGTGATAGACTTGAGAGAAGTGATCGCAGTAAGAGCGGAGCACAGATTGCGGGCAAAGGAAAAAAGATTTCGATTCAAGTCTCAACAGAAGCCATGCTTGCTTCAGGAGGACAGGTTGGGAGGCACGAATACATTCTCCCTCTTTATGATCAAGGTGAGTAATTCTTTAAAATTTGATATTATTAGCTGCATGTTAACTTAGCAGACAAATGAAGGATGGATGGAGTTTCTATTTTTTAATTACTTTTTCAGCAAAAGTTCATCCTTTATTATGAAAGTGGGTGGTTGGCGGGTGCTCTGGTGTGGTTTGCTTCTTCTTTCCTATCAAACATCTATCGTCCTTATCTCCCCTTATTGTTTCTTATATTTGTTTCTCTCTTGTAACACCTCTTATCTTCTGGCGCTCATGTGACCTTATAATGCAGTTGCAAGCACCGTAAAACCTCTACTAAAACTAAACTAAAACTTATTATCAAAAGCTATTGTCAAAAGGTATTTATAGTGGAGCCTTTTCAATCACTGTCATGAAGTCTTACTTTCAGCTGTGTCGCACAAATAATGGATTTTTTTGCCTCATCATTATGTGTGTGGTGCATAAACAGAAGGGCTGACGAAAATCTGGAAAATAATAGTCTGCACCACCTCTGTTAGAGCAAGGTTGATTTTAATAGCAGTCATACGATTTTTGTCCCTTTAAAGTTTAAAGTGCCAAAAATTAGTTTTTTTCCTTGTAAATGATTGAAATGATCATTGCTGTGTTTAGTTTAACTAATATTTTTCTTTTTTTAACGTTTGATTGGGTTTTAAACAAATAATAGTCTTGAGTAGTTGTTGTACTTCTACTCAATCATTGCCTTTGCACTCTTTGTTCTTTGATAGAAGACAGAAGTTCATGTGATGTAATACATGTTCATGTGACGTAATACATGTTAAAGGTTTCTGGTCTTTCAGTGTTTCTTTGTCTTTTTTTTTTGTTTTGTTATTAAATCAGTTAAAGTCATTGCTTAACATTGAGTAAATTTGTTGAAACTTAGATACAGTCATAGACCTTTACCTTGAATTTTTGTATATATATATATTGAAGTGCTGAAGTGAAGAAATGTGGTAGGATCAGGCATGATTATATATATGTATTAAGGTATATATGCTTGTTTTTTTAGACTTTTCTTTATATAACGATTACTTTAATAAAGAAGTTTTTATTGTGCTGACTTTGTTTTCTTTTTATTGTTGCCAAATGTTTGCTAGTTTTGTTTCGTCATATTCCTTTAAATCACGTATTCAGAGAGTGTCACGGCACAGATGGCGTCACAAAAGCTCAGCGTTTGTTTGCCGGGACTATGGAACATGCCAGATATGGATTGATAAGATCCAGGAGCTGCTGAAGAATCCAGGTAGGCACATTTGTGTCACATTTGCGAAATGTTAGAAAGGGGGCGACTGTATTGGAACCCAATTCACCAAGCGGCTCAAATTATGAATTTGAAAATTTAACTGTACTGCCGTAAGCTGACAAAATGCCATATTTCATGTTTGTGCCGAATTTATTTGCTAAATCGGAAGCTTGATTAATTACCCTACTTGTGTGAAAAATTCAAATGGAAACTGTTACTAGTTTTTGAATAAGTTAAAATAAACATTTTGGAATGACTATTTTTAAATGATTACACTGACTAAAAAACCCTCTTTTTCTCGAAAATGCTCTGAAGAAAAAGGGACGTTTTGTCAGCTTACGGCTGTGTAGATTTTGGTACGAAGAAGTAATGTGTGACCTTAAGCACAAAATCATGAAAATCTGGCTCCGTTATGGTCTTGGGAATATTGAATGCTATCATTGCTTAATTTTTTATGAGGTCGGGAGATTATGGTTTCTTCTGAAACGTGACACATAAATTGCTGCACCAGAATATTATATTATATAGATTATTATGATGTAACCCTTCTACTTGGGGCTTTCATTCTCTAATCATAGGTAAAAAAAGCCTGTTTGGCTGCTGTTTGATGGATTCGCTGGCAAGCTCTTTTCTCTCTTCTTTGTTTGTCATTTTTGTTTTCCCTACTTTACAAACGTTGATCACCTTCTGAGTCTTATTTCTTTCATTTTGTTTGTAGAAAACTTTTATATTTGTTTGAATTCTGCTTTTCAGAATGGAACCGTCCAAAGAGGCTCTTAGTTTTCATCAATCCATTTGGTGGCAAAAAGAAAGCACCCAAAATTTTTGACGAAAAAGTTCGACCATTATTTGAATTGGCTGGTATTTACTCAGAAGTAATAGGTATGTATTGTGTCTGGCATTTCTTCCTTCACAGTGTTCACGCAGAGTTGTTTTTCTTTGTGATCTTCTGGTTTTGAACTAATTTAGATGTATGGTCAAGCAAAATGAAGCGCATAGTCCTAAAGTAGAGAAATCTCAGAAAGATTTTTAATTGGGGAAGGTTTTGAGATGTGGGTATTTTTGTTTTCTTCAACCTCTCTTACAACTATTTCATCACATAAGAACCCTGCCCTCCAACCCCCCCCCCCCATCACTCCTATATTTAAGACAGAATAAAAACTCTTGTACAATGGTCGCGAATGGGACTGAGATGTTGATGTGTGAATGAGTTAAACTTGTGCGTTTCTGTTCCAAATTTTTGTAATGTAGTTCTTGAGATTATAATGGTAACTGGTAAGTGATGCATTTTTATTCATACATTTTTTCCACATAAAATTGTAAGTGAATCTAAATTCAGATGAAGCACTTCTAAATTAGATGTAAAACTTTAATTTTATTGTTATTTCATTAGTGGAGATGTGTGATTAATTCTCATGTACGTTGCCTTTTCAGTAACAAAGCGTCAGTATCATGCAAGAGATGTGATAGAAGAATATGATCTACAAACAGTTGATGGGTAGGTGGATACTTTGCACTGTAGTCCTTAAATATTACCAACATTCATATGATCGTCAGAATCACATTCCTTATCCCAAGGGTTGTCCTTGTCATTACCAGAATCTAATTCAGAAAGGTCTTCAAAATAATCAGTAACGTCCCGAGTAGTAAACATGGTTCCCTGCGCACATTTTGTCCGAGACGGGCCGGTTTGGGGATACGGTCTCGCTGACCCACCGTACCGGTGGCTAGGCATACGGGCAGTTTTACGCGCCACTGGTTAAGGGTTCAAAGGGTTATTGCTGATAGGTTTATTATGTCATCAAGGGGATGTGTGCTGACTAACCTGATGAAGGAAAAAGGAATTCTCAATTAGGTGTCCCGTTGTTGCGTACTTGAAATGAAATGCAGTTTGTTGCTTGTATTGCACAACACACACAGGGCATTGTAATAGTTGACCCCATACCTATTGACCTAAGATAACTCTGTCGGCAAGGGATGATGATGACTGTGCTGCTTTTTATAGTTAGATTATGTAAGATAACACCTTCCTCTGAGTTGAACTGTTATCTCTGTTGACATCTTTTCAAAAAAAAATTAGGTTACTCTGATTTGAATCCCAAAGGAGTCGTTCGTGAATCTGGGTAGTGTGGGTTGTTTTCATAACTATTTGTATTGTTTATTTTTGACATTGAAAAAAAAACAACAACTTGACCCTGTTTCTGACAGTGACTTTGCAATTTGTAATAAATTAGTTGCTTCTTTTATGCATCCTTTGCCTTAGTCTTCTATGGTTAAAAAAAAAGATGCTAAGAAGGTTTGACAGGGGTGCTTTGTTTGCAACAATGTTGTGTTTATATACCTCCTTATACCACAAGTGGGTGGTTTGCGGGTGCTCTGGTGTGGTTTGCATCTTCTTTCCTATCAAACATCTATTGTCCTTATCTCCCCTCCTTTTTTATGTTTGTTACTCCCTTGTAACACCTCTAATCTTCTGAGGCTCATATGACCTTATGCAGTTGCGAGTGCTGTAAAACCTCTACTAAAACAAACATTATACCACAAATTTATTATGTTTTTACTTCCAGTTGTATACTTCGTTTTTGCTTTTCCTGAACTCATATTCACTTGAGGAGTGTAAATCTCATGGAAAGTGAAATTTTACCTTGTGATTTAGTGATGTCCTTAAAGAAATTAGAAGGCACTTAATATTATGAAATTAGAATTTTTTAACGAAATCTGGTTGCTTTTTTGGGACATTTGTTGTCCTGTATGAGCTTACTTGATTTTGTAATGACGCAAATCGATAAAAAAAAATTATAACAAGGTGTATTATGAGGATTAAAATTAGTCACCTGGTGTGAATGACTAGGCATAGGCAGAGTCCTATTTTCACGGCAGCAAAGTTTTTCAAGCAAGTCTTCGTTTTGCTTATAACTTAACTCTTTAAACCCCATCGGACGCTGTGAGCGTCCGGCGGTTATAACCCTGTTCCCCATCGGATGCTGGGTACTAGTGACAACTATTGCTTTTTATTTAATGCTAGTATTTGTTTGTGTTTCAGAACTATTCCCGAACCAAGATTTTTAGTAATGACTTATAAGCCTTTGTTTCTGCCATTTAGAAGTTGGAGGCAAGCTTTTGGGGTTATAATGAGACATAGTGCACCAGGTTTAAGTGACTGTAGCAAAAACTCAGGGAAACGATGGAAAAAACTCAGGGTTTAAAGAGTTAACGTTCCTATCACTTCAATTTGTGGGGGTGGTTTTAGGGTGTCACAGGTACATCCTATTTCTTTTCCTTCCCTATGTTGTTTTTGTCGGTCTGTCCCTGCGCTACATGACCATCATCATGTCAGTGTGCCTCTTTTTTCTAAAATAAAAGTAGAAACTTCTATTTTTTAAGGGAAGTTGGCGGGGGGGGGGGGGGAGATAAAATAAAGCCATTACATTCAAGCAGGAGGTGCAATTTCCCAAAGGTTCTTTTACCTATTATGGTCATGAACAGGTGTGGTGTGTAGTGTAGTGTATTGCTCTGCCGTGTTTTCTCCATTCAAACCTCTGAGCCAAATGTTGTATCTTTGAGCAATTTGTGTCTCGCAGGGCATAAACCACGGAGAGTTCTGAAATAAAATCTGAAGCAAATGAATCTCTCATTTTTGCATTATGAGCCCAAAACAGGCTGAACGTAGCATAGAAATATTTTCTTCAGGCTGATGGCAGCCATTTGCATTATTTAGCTTGACCAGGATTTTTCTGCATCTTCCAACTGAAATACGTAAGCAGTGGACGTAATCATTCGCACCGTACATTATTATGAAGACGGTATCATCCTCATTGCACTTAAATGGTTAAAGCTTTCATTATAAAGGGGAAAAAAAAAATGCTGTCACCCTCTTTCATTCCCCCTCTCTCCTTTCTCAACCGTTTTTTTCCTGCTCACTTTTTTTTTTCTTCTTCTTCAGTCTCATTTGTGTTGGTGGAGATGGGACCTTCTCTGAACTCCTGAATGGCCTTCTGGACCGTGTGAACGCAGAGGCTGGAGTGAGTCAAACATTCCGGCACAAGCCAGTCAGTCCTTCCCTCCGCATCGGCATCATTCCAGCAGGTAGGTAGAAATACATTTTTCAAAGAAGCATTTCGAAGGCCATGGGTCTTTCGCATAAACTGTGTTTTTTGTCGCAGTTTTTTGTGTTGTAAAGTCTTTTTTTTAAAAGGATTTACGGTGTCATCTTTTGACTATATGTAGAGACAGTGGGGACCCTTGTTTCTTTTTTTTAACGTCTTGTCTATAGTTTCTGTCTGTCTGTCTTGATTTTTTTTCTTCCACTAAATATCTTATCATATCGATGAGCTTCTCTTTACTCAGTCTAATTTAATAAGGTTTTGAGATTGTTTTTTTGCTAGAAGGGTATATATGAATGTTAAATACATATATATTTTTTGTATTATATTGTAAATTATAACTTAAAGAACTTTTGTTACACCTGCTACCGTAACAGGTTCCACAGATGCAATAGTGTATTCCCTTGTGGGCATCAATGATCCTGTCACATCAGCTCTACAAGTCATCTTAGGTTTGTATGCTCTTTTTTTTTTTTTGCTTATGAAATATTGTGAATCTGTCATGACTATGCACATGTGGTGTTGGTAGCCTAGTTGTTAGGCTGCAGGACTGGTAATCATGAGATTGATGATTCGGGGTTCGAGCCTCAGCTCTGTCCCACATTGTGTCCTTGGGAAAGACACTTTTCATGAATTTCCCACTTGGCTCGGTCTTTTCGGAGACGAATGTTAAACTCGGAGGTCCCGCCTCTTAAATAACCTAGTAGTGTTGATAGGGGCGTTAAACCCATACTATTTTTTCGACGATGCGCTTTTATCGTTTAATTGTTTTCCTGTTTTAGTAGAGGTTTTACGGCTCTCGCAACTGTTTGAATTGTTTGCAGCTGTTTTGCTACTCAAAGTTTTTTTTGACATGTTACATGATTAATAGAATAAATAAGAATAAAATCTCTTCCTCCCCTTCTCATCCTCCTCCTCTCTCTCTACCCCTTCTCTCTTCCCTCTCTCTCTCCCTCTCTCCCTCTCTCTCTCCCTCCCTCCCTCCATCTCTCTCCTCCCCCCGCCCCCCCCCCCCCCCATCCTTCCCTCCCTCTCCACTTTCCCTGTCCCACGGATGTATGTTGTCACTCATTCTCACACACTCATTCAAAGATACTAAAAAAGAATGAAGGGCTCAGCACCTCCTATTTAACTCATTTTGTGTTGAAAGGGAAATGTGACGTTTTGCGTAAGAGAAGTAAAGAGAGAAGGGATATATTTTTCCAACATGTTATTCTATGCACATTAACAAATTTTTAAAAATCATTAGCTCATAAATAAATGTTGTGGTTGATTGGGGCTGTAGTCAGATGTAGCTCTGCTCCATTTTCTTCTCTTTGCCTTGATTACTTAAACTGTGGGTGGTAGGCTGGTGCTCTGGTGTGGTTTCATCCTTCTTTCTTATCTAACATCTATTGTCCTTATCTCTCCTCCCTTTTTTTCCTTTGTGTTTGTTGTAACACCTCTAATCTTCAGCACTCAGCACTTATACGACCTAATTATGTTGCAAGTGCTATAAAAGGCTTACTTCAACAACAACAACCAAATGAAAATGATATCTCAGACTTGGGACTTGAAATGTTTCACGGTGGTTTCCTTCAGGCGACAGTATAGGCATGGATGTGACAGCTCTGTACAAAAAGGAGGAGTTTGTCAAGTACACCACCACCATGTCAGGCTACGGTTACTATGGCGACCTCCTGAAGGACAGTGAAACTCTTCGCTGGATGGGGCCGAGAAGATACACTTGGTGTGGTAAGTCGACACAGACGGTTTAACAGTTGTGACCCTGATTTGGGGAAAGAGGTCCAAATTTGTTGTTTTAGTTTTTGAAATTATTGACGAGGATGAGTAGTTCTATACTTTTACCTATAGTTAGGATTCAACAATGACGATTAGAAGTTGCGTTGTTTTTTAGATAATAATTTGATGTAGGTTTGAATTGTACATTTGTACGATTTGTGTAACTGTTATCAGTTTACTGACCTGTGCTTTATTGGCTGTGTGTATTTTTCTTATGTAACATGTTTGGCTGACTGAAATCTTTCTGGAGTGGTTGCTTTATAAGAGATTGGTAGGGTGGTCTATAACACAATGGGGATACATTTATTTTCCAGCCACTCTCACATTTTTGTTCTTTAAATTTTGTGGTTGACACAATACCCATGAGTAAATCATAGAATTTTTGTTCCTTTAACCTGTTAACCTATTAAATTTTAAATCAGTGCTGTATTTTTCTTTTTCTCTTCTTGTTTCTAGGGTTCAAGACATTCCTAGCAAACAAAGCCTACGAGGGAGAAGTCTCGTTTCTGCTGGCATCAGAAGACGACAGTCATCCTCGTGACCACTCTATTTGTTACTCCGGGTAAGCTCAGTTCATAGCTTACCTAATAGTGTTGATAGAGGGTTAAACTCTTACCATTTATTTAATTCATAGCTGCCTACCATTATGTAAAAATGTATTCATTATGTTTTTGAGGGTCTGAGCACGGAAGTCCATTTTTGTGTCAGAAAGTACAGATTCTCTGTTTTCCTGTATGGACTTAACGATGTTGAAGAAAAATTATGTACTTTCAAAACTGGATTTGCGAAGACTAATGAAAATGAAGAGACCTCTAAGAAACGTTTCTGATATTATTGAAGGTCTGCTTTGAGTAGCTTGAATTTATTGATGCAGAAAAGTGGGTGTGAAGGGTTTTTAAATAATAACCTGTGTAATTTTTTATATCATAGGTAATTTTTTTTAACAACATCATATTTCCAGGGCGTGCTGTTAGGACATATTGTTGGTAAGGGAATGAGAATTGTTTTACAGTTTTGAAGCTTGTTTTTGAAATTTCAAGTGTATTGGGTTTTTTTCCATTGAACAAAGGACAAGTTGATGGTCCTGTCTTTTTTTTTAAAGATTTTTTTTTTCATGGTTATTACAATCTTGTTTTTAAAAAAAAAAATTGTCGAATTTTAGGTGTGAAAAGTGCAGGAGAGCTTCAGAAAAAACTGCTGCATTGTCACCTGCGCGGGATCCTCAGGCTGATGGTGATGTTGGTGCTACCGGTGAGTTGAAAAAAACATCACTGAGCTCGTGGATGACTAAAATGATAAATCTTTGCTTGTCTTTGTTTAATGTTCTGGTTGTGTTGGGCTCATACTGTTATTTCTTCTTGCTGATGGGATGCCATCTTTCTTCCAAATTCTCGTACCCTGCTTGTAGTTATTTAGTGGATGCATGTGGTTGGAGGATGCCACTGGTAGGTCCTACTTTTCTTCCCCCCCCTATTGTTTCTGTCTGGGTGTCATGTCTTTTCTTTGCATTAGACGGTGGCTGTTTGGTCAATGTACTTCTCTCAGCTCAGACAACATTATTTTTTTACATCTGCATTGACATGGATCATTTGTGAGGCATCGTGGTGAAATCAGGCGCGAATCAAAATCAAAGAAATCGGCATTTTTATGGCGGCTGGGCAATTTTTATTTCGAAATTTCTTTTTTTTAAGCTCAACCCCTTTTATGTCTATTTAAAAACACTTTTCTGTGTGGATTTTACGTAAATCGTTGATTAAAGGTTAAAAAAATTGTACATTTTCAGTTTCCAAGGACTCTCAAGCTTGGAAGTTACCAAACTTTGGTGGCCATTTTTTCGCTAATTTTACTTCTGAAAACAAGTGACCCCTACCCCCTTCAATCGTAAATATCTCGATTTATATTCAAGATATATGGGCATTTTTTTCATCAAAAAATAAACAAACCAACAAGCTTTAAGATGCTACCAATAACTCCACATGCCCAAAAATTGACAAGCACCTGATGCCACTGTGTTGTAACACATTTAGAGGTTTGTCCTCTCTGACCCTGCCTGTCAAGCAAGGCCAGCTGACGGGGATGCTTGATAGACTATGTCCACTGCATTGGACTTATCTCTTTTTTTATGTATCATATAAAGATTGTAAACATTACATTTAATAATAAATGGCATTTGTATTGCGCATTCCTCCACTCAACAGCAAGCTCTATGCTTTTTACACTCTATCATTACCCCAGCAGATCATAGAACACTTGGAAATATTCTCAGCTTCCTGGGATGCATACCGTGCCAGCAGCTGATTAAGCGCTCAAACACTAACAAAACTTATAAGATCTTTCGCTGTCTATAGCTAGGTACCTGGGTGAAGTGAGGAAAATTCTTGTAAAGTGCCTTTCCCAAGGACACAACGTCGGGCCCCTGACAGGATTCGAACCCATGACCTCATGGTTGCGAGTCCGAGAGCCTGACCACTAGGCCACTGATGCCACATTTCATTGTCTTCAGTTGTTTCAAGATAACTACGGGTTCAAATCTCATTACAGATATTTCAATTTCAACTGTATTTCATGTATAACATTGAGAGTTAGTGGAAACAGTTGGTGTGGGAAAGACAAAGACGGATAAACAGTGGGAGGGAGGGAAAAATACTGTCTCACAGTGGGTTTATGGATTTGTGAATCTGATTGGGTTTCGAATGTTTCTCAAATTAATCCCAGAATGTTTACTGATATCTCACCTCCTGATATGAATGACATGTGCTACACCTTCTAAATGAACTGCTTTGACTTTGTTGGATGTTTAGCTTCAACAAACTTAATATTTAGAGTAGTAAAAAAAGCTTAAGAATTGCTTCCTGATTCACTAGGGTTTGAAAATCTATGGGAGTTCTGACAAAAAAAATTGGTGCTAAAAAAACAAAAAAACACACTCAGTTGATATTGTTGAGTAGTTTTGTCATACTTTACTTCACTTTTCACACATTGTCATATTTTTGTTTTTTATCTTTGGCTTTTTCTGCCACAGGGGATTCTGCTGCATCCAGTAAAAGAGCCTCTTATTTGCGTAAGTTCTTTACACCTTGTAATAATGAAATTTCACTATACAACACTAAGATTATTGAGTAAATTGTTTCTCTGGATCTTTCTCTATTTTCTTGTTTATGTTATGGAATGCTGTCGCACTGCTATGTAAATGCAATTTCTAGACTGTCATAATTAACTGATATGAGTACAATAAATAAAAAGGAGCCTAAGAAATGAAAAACTGTCTTTTGATGGTGGGTGGTTGGTGGATGCTCTGGTGTGGTTTGCTCTTTCTTTCCTATCAAACATCTGTTGTCCATATCTCTTCTTCTGTTTTTTTTTTTGTTTCTCTCTTGTAAGACCTCTAATCTTCGGCACTTTTATAACTTTATTTTGTTGCAAGTACATTAAAACTTTTACTAAAACTAACTGTCTTTTGATGTACCGCTTCTTAAATAACCTTACAGTGTTGATAGGGGTGTTAAACCTTTCCCAGTGGGTGGTTGGCGGGTACTCTGGTGTCGTTTGCTCCTTCTTTCCTACCAAAAATCTATCTTCCTTATCTCTCCTCCTTTTTTGTGTATGTTACTCTCTTGTAACACGTCTTTTCTTAGGCACTTATATGACCTTATTTTGTTGCAAGTACATTAAAACTTTTGCTAAAACTAACTGTCTTTTGATGTACCGCCTCTTAAATAACCTTACAGTGTTGATAGGGGCGTTAAACCTATACCACAACCCCCGGGGCATTGCTACTGACTGAAGTGTCTTTAGGCCATTCCCAAAAGGGGACATTAACATGTTCTTATGCACAGTAGAATTATAAATGGGCTGATTCACGTGGAACTGCAACAGGGAGCTGCTGCCTTTTCTTTCCTAATCCTTACTATCGCCATTTTTCCTCTACTTTTTTTGTATGTTTGTCACACTCTTGTGACCTGCTTTTCCTGGGGTACCTTGATAGTCGAAGCAGACTTAATGCTGTTAAAGCTAGAGAGGTGAGCAGAGTAAGCCTGATTCCCTGTATGGACTTCTCTGTTGATATCCACCCTTTGGCGCTCATATGACCGTATGCAGTTGCGAGCGCCGAAAAACCTCTACCTCCCCCCGGGGCAATGCCACTGACTGTAGTGTCTTTAGGCCATTCCCAAGGGGGGGACATTTCTCGTTCAAGTACAGTAGAATTGTAAATAGGCTGATTCATGTCACGCTCATAACTGTGCCTGATCTACCACAGGGAACTGCTGATTTTTCTTTCCTAATCCTTACTATTGCCATTTTTTCCTCTACTTCTTTTGTATGTTTGTCACTCTCTTGTGACCTGCTATTTCCGGGGCACCTTGATAGTCGAAGCAGACTTTGTGCTGTTAAAGCTAGAGAGGTGAGCAGGGTAAGCCTGATTCCCAGTATGGTCTTCTCTGTTGATATCCACCCCTTGGCGCTCATATGACCTTATACAGTTGCGAGCGCCGAAAAACCTCTGCTAAAACCAAAACTTACTTGAACTGTCTTCTGATGTGCAGTGAAGGATGGCTGGCACCGAGTGCGGGGCCGGTTCAGCGCCATCAACCTGGTGACCATCAGCTGCCGTTGCGAACTGTCCCCCTCGGGAATGTCCCCGTCCTCCCACCTGGGCGATGGGTGCACCGACCTCATTCTTATACAGGACTGCTCCCGCCTCCAGTACCTGCGCCACCTCACACGCATCCCGGACCTCAAGGCTGACCAGGTGAGAACTTGTTGTTGCTGTTGTTGTTGCTGCTGTTGTTGTTGTTGTTGTTGTTGTTTATGGTGCTGGTTGTGGCAGTGTTGTTGTTGTTGGTGTTTATGGTTGTGGTGGTAGTGATGTTGTTCTTGGTGTTTGTGGTGGTGGTGTTGTTGTTAGTGTTGTTTATGGTGTTGTTGTTGTTGTATACAATTCAACCTGCTCTAATGGCCACCTGTATAAGACAACACTTTGTAACACCTCTAATCTTCTGCACTTATATGACCTAATGTATTGCAAGGGCCGTAAAACACTTAACAAATCTAAACTTTTAAAACGTTTTTTTGTTGTTGTTACATCACATTGTTCTAAATTCCCATTTGAGATGCTCGGCCAACTCTTCTGTTCTGTTCTCCTTTGTTCTGTTCTTAGTTTGACTTTTGAGCTCGTCCGAGTGCACTGAGTGTTACTGTCTTGTAACACCTGTAACCTTCAGCACCTATATGACTTAATGTGTTGCAAGTGCTGTAAAATGCTTACTAGAACTTAACTTTCTTTACTTTTTTTTTCTTGTTACACAACACATTGTCTTAACTCTTTTTATCCTAGCCGTACCCCCGCGGACTCTGTACCCGTCCTGGGGCCGCCGCGCCGTATGAGTGGGAAGTCAGTGCGTATAGTTCAAAGTGTTGTATTTCTTACATTTACTCTAAGGTTTTAAGGAAATTTGGCAGTTATGTTAGAAATTGAATGTAGTTTTTGTAAACGTATGTGGTTAGGAAATACACTGATAGCACAATGTAGATTTTCAAGTGTATTCCTCCCTCGAACTTGACCCTGATTGCCGCGCCCACGACGTCCCATTGGATTTTATAGATCTAGATCTAGCCCTACCCATCGAGCACGAATTCCAGTACTGACCCCTTCACCATGATCTGGATCGCTATTAGATGATTCTAAGTTCTGTTTCTTATTATCCACATCGGAATTTACGGCACCTATTTCAGAGTCACTTTCATCAAATTAGTATCATTCCCCCTCACAACCCAGCGCCACTTCAAAAAGTACTTCGTCGGTCGTGAATGTGCATTTTCGAGACATCTTTCAAGCCTCTACAACCATCAAAAACAAAGAAACCACAGTTCATTGGAAAATTAAAATATTCAGACAGAGCTAGCATCGCCGTATTTGAGTATTTTGGTATTTACAAGCCGAACTAGCTTCTTTGACGTGACCGGATCGCTGTTCCGAGAATACTCGTAGCCCGGACTGGTCCTCGTTACGAGTATACTCGTAGCCCGGATAAAAAGAGTTAAGTTCCTTTATTGAAATACTTAACTCTTCTGTTCTGTTCCATTCCGTTCTCAGTTTGACTTTGAGATCATCCAAGTGTACCGGGTGGTGTTTGTTACTCTCTTGTAACACCTCTAACCTTCGGCTGTTATGGGTGGTGTTTGTTACTCTCTTGTAACACCTCTAGCCTTCGGCTGTTATATATGCGCTTACTAAACAAAACTTTCTTTACTTTTTTTTTCTTGTTACATAAAAGTTCCCTTTTGAGATACTCAGCCAACTTTTCTGTTCTGTTCCGTTCCGTGGGTGGTTGGCACGTGCTCTGGGGTGGTTTGCTTCTTCTTTCCTATCAAACATCTATCGACCCCCCGCGGCAGTGCCACTGACTGTAGTGTGTTTAGGCCATTCCCAAAGGGGGGACATTTCTCGTTCAAGCATAGTAGAATTGTAAATGGGCTGACTCATGTCACGCTCATAACTGTGCCTGACCTGCAACAGGGAACTGCTGCTTTTTCTTTCCTAATCCTTACTATTGTAATTTTCCTCTACTTCTTTTGTATGTTTGTCACTCTCTTGTGACCTGCTATTTCCGGGGTGCCTTGATAGTCGAAGCAGACCATGTGCTGTTGAAGCTAGAGAGGTGAGCAGTCTAAGTCTGATTCCCCGTAAAGACTTCTCTGTTGACACCCTCCCCATGCCGCTCATATGACCTTATGCAGTTGCGAGCGCCGTAAAACCCTCTACTATATAAAAAGCCCAAAAAACATCTATTGTCTTTATCTCCTCTCCTTCTTTTTTGTGTTTGTTACTCTCTTGTCACACCTCTAATCTTCAACACTTATATGACCTTATTCTGTCGCAAGTGCCATAAAAATCGTACTAAAAACTAAAACAAAAATTCCCCTTCTGAGATTCTCAGCTAACTCTTCCGTTCCGTTCTGTTCTGTTCTCAGTTTGACTTTGAGTTCATCCAAGTGTACCGCGTGAAGGAGTTCAGCTTCCAGCCCGTGGTGGAGCCGGAGGACGAGGATGAGGGCGAGGGGGAGGCCAGGGAGGGCTGCGGGCGACACAAGTCGGGCCACCGGAGACTGCGCTCCGCCAGCAGCAACAGCGTGTGGAACTGTGACGGGGAAGTGGTGGAGCACCCTTGTCTTTACGTACAGTGAGTCGCCTGCCTCGTTGTAATAATAATAATAATAATAATAATAAAAATACTAATATTAATAGTAATATGGAAGTTTATTTATATGCGGTTAAAAAACTGGATCATCATGTGTGTAGATGTTTTGTTGCTAATATCTATGACAAAATTTATTTCAGACAGATGCTGTTTTATTTATGATCATAAAATGTTGCACATATGTTTATCTTTTTTTCATAGACAGAAATTTTATTTATAAATTGTGTATTGTTTTTTTTCTTTATGGTCCTATTGTAATTTCTAAAAATTTAGGGCAAGAAAGCCGGATGTTCACATCTGAAGGATGTATATTTTCACTATCTTTTTATTGTGGTTCATTTGTTGTTTGTTTTTTCTGATGTGTTGTGTAGTGTCTTTGCTTGATCACAGCAATAATTCTGCTATCCTGATGATTGCCTTTCTCACCCGGGATCAGGATATAGGCCACCAACAAACACTTTCCACCTTTCCCTATCCTGGGCTTGCTGCTTGATGTTATTCCATGTCTTCCTACCTTTCTGTACATCTATTTCTGTGACTCCTCTCCAAGTTCCACATGGTCTTCCCCTTGATCTTTTACCCTGCGGGTTCCAATCTAACACTTTCCTTGTTATGCAACTGCTTGCCGCCTCCTTCTTCCCACTTCATCTCTGACTGGGCTCTGTCGCGTTCTTCTTAATACTTCCTCGTTGTGACCCTGTCAGTCCAGCCGATCCGCAGTAACTTCCTTAGACACTTGTTCAAGAAAAATTGGATTGATGGATGGTGCTCTGGTGTGGTTTGCTCCTTCTTTCTTATCAAACGTCTATCGTCCTTATCTTTCCTCCTTCTTTTTTGTGTATGTTACTCTCTTGTAACACCTCTAATCTTTGGCACTTATATGACCTTATTGTACTGTAAGTGCCGTTACACTCTTACTAAAACTAAACTAAACCTGGATCTTCCTTATGCAACATAGTTCTGTTATCACGATCATCATCATCATCACCATCATCCAGTTCCAGATCTGCGACCGACATCGGCGATCATGGTTTTTCCATTCATTCCTTTGCTCGGATGCTCTCAAAAAAGCTATGTTTCCATGATCTGTCCCTGTTACCCATTTGTTTAGGTTCCCTAAGTATGTTGTTCTGAGCTTATGTTTATGTTTATCACAATCATATTCTTTTATTCTTGTTTCTTCTTAATGCCGTCAGGGTGCACTGCCAGCTGATCAAACTGTTTGCCCGAGGTGTGGAAGAACCCCAGAAAGAGGACTCATCCCTGTGTCCGACCTGCTGCCCGTCCTATGACAGCGACAAATGACGGCATGCCGGCCAGGGTGACGGGTGTCGGTGTCATTCTCCGACAAGTGAGAAATAGCACAGGAACTGGTGCGACCAAACTTTGGAAGTCCGTGAGATGATGTAAATAGACTGCCACGGAAAGTTGTTATAATAGAGTTTTCATGGAGATTGTGAATGGAAAGAGAGATTACTCAGTGTTAACAGACTTTGTCACGGAAAGTTGTTATAGAGTTTTCATGGAGATTGTGAATGGAAAGAGAGATTGCTCGGTCACTCTTTGGCTGTTCCAGGATTTGACATATGTCGACAAAGGGATGCTTCCTATGCCCTTTGGAGTCTTTGATCACTCTATTGTTTTTGTGCAATTTCAGGAGGCCTCAGGGCATGTCTCGTTGACATATTGTTTTTTGGTGTAAGGGATCGCTATGGACAGCTGAGTGAACTATATCTGGCTGTTTTTGCCTTTTTTGCGTTTGTTGGAGCCAATGATAGTACATAACAAGATGGGCCACTTCTCTCTTTGAGCCAATTAAAAAAGTGTCCTCAAAATTTGGTGGCGCCCTCTTCACAAAAGCGCACTCTTTGCGAACAGAGTTACCCTACTTGAGTTTTTAAAAATCAAAGTGAAACTAGCATGTTTTGAGATAAATTTCGGAAGAACCCTTTTTTTAAATGGTTACGCTGACAAAAAACCTTTTCCGGAGGAAAGGGTGATGGTTTTCTTCGTTTAATTTGACTTTAGAATGAAAGGCGAGAGGTCATTAAAATAAGAAAACCCCTAAAACTACGCACTGAACGTACCCGAACTGCTGATGAACAGCAGTCGATCTGCGCACGCAAGGAGGTGCTATTCCTATTCTTCTTCTGGAAAAACGAAAGAGAGCTTCAAAACAGACAGCAGCGCCATCTGAAGCAAAGAGCATACTTCCTGCGGACACTTTTTTGGCTGAGTGAACCATCTTGTTATGTACTATCATTGTTGGAGCCCCTTCTAATTTTATGCCCTGGGGAAAGAGATAGTGCCAGTAGACAGACCAATGCTGTCTACATCACAACAGTGTTCAACCATCTAGCCATTATGTTGGACGTGTCTGCTATCATAGTCCTTCGTTTACTTTTTTGTGTGTGTGTGTGTGCCATGCAGTATATCGTTGGCTTTTTTTTTTTTTTCTTTCTTTCCGAGAAAAGCAAATGCAGGACATTTAGGAAAAGTTGGTTCTGGAAATGTTTTTTTTCTCACTATTATCTTTTTCCTTTAATTGATATTTTTACCGATTGCTGGCTCTTGGAATATGAGGCTTGGAAGTCTATCACTGGCTTTTGAGCTGTTAATCAAAGTGTCTTTTATTTATTTAAAGGTCGTTACTAGGATAATTTCTTTTTCTTTGATTTACTCCAAAAAAAAAAAAAAAATAGGACCTAGGCTCTCATGGAATGACATTTATGATAATATGCAATATTTAGATGCAATCTATTATTATTCTATCAACTTTTCAGATGCGGTGTAATGTTTTATTTCCAGCACTTTTTTGCTTTTAAGCACTGCAAAGAAAAATGTCATTTAGCACGCATTCTATGACTTTGTATCTTCTCTTAGGGAACTTGTCCAGCAACTGGAAGAAAGGAATTTAAGTTTGATTTGGCTCTGAATTTGTTTTATCCATCCTTGGAACATTTTTTTTCCCCCTCTTTAACCGGTGTCCTGATGAAGGTGGAAGAGGGAAAGGAGCAGGAGCAAGCTGTGTTGCTCTCCTTCAAGGGCCTCTAATTTGTTTGTGCTAATCTGAGTGTGTATATAGTATATATATATATATATGTGTGTGTGTGTGTGGCGTGCTGACAAAATGAGTTACTTCTCGCAGTCCACAGAAGGAGATATTGGCACAAAATCAACACCGAGGTCAAATTAGTAGTTCTTCTATTGATGCTCTACTTTCATGTAGAACATGCCTCTTATTATTTCCTACTTATAAATTGTAAAACTTCGCTTATAAGCATGATGTTTCTACTTCCATAAGGCTTGAATCCGAGAAGTAACTCATTTTGTCAGCACACTTCACATATATATTTATTTATATATACGTCTTGAAGCCAGAGTGTCTTGACAGTCTGTACACAGACTTGATATACTGAAGCTTGTTTTTAATTTACTTTATACTTTACTGGAAAAAGTTTATGTGAAAGGAGCATGCGTAGGGGTGACTTACTGAGTATTGAAAGTGTAAAATAAAAAAACGAAATGGGTCGCTATTAAAAATTTGGGCACTTGTCAAAAAAGGTTGCTGTTCAAAAATGATATATTTTTTCAATGAAGAAATGGAAGTGTTGATTCCTAGGTTTGACAAAATTTTGGCTTTTTATTATTTTCATGAATTCTCTTTTTTAACAAAGTTATAACTTTATGAATTTACTCTGCATATTATGAAATGTGAGGATGTATGTATATACATTTCTCAAGAATCGTTATCGTTGACAAGGAATTCTAAATAAATTGTAATGATGTCTTTCCATGAATATGAAGAAGTACATACAAAACAATGTGAAAATATATTTAAGACACAAAGCATTTGTAACTTCATCTTTTCTGCATGTCAATATTACCTGACTTTCTCTGGCTTTGAAAAAGCAGTCTCAAAATTGTTTGATAATGGTCACAAAGTTTACTGGTCACACAAAAGACAATGATTTCTGTTGTTCATATTCTGTTCCTATGTATCTGTGAAAGTGCTGTTTTTCCTTTCTTTAAAAAAAAATGTTTCGGTGGCTATGGTGGCACGAGGAAAAATAGGAGGAGGATGATGTTTACATTTCTTAAAGGATGTTGATCGTATGTGAGATGCATCGTGTAAAATGTTGATGGCTTTTGAGATAAACATTGAAAGGTAATTGATGTGGTGAGGTTTCGTTTGTGGTTTGAGAACCATTGGGTGCTACAGACTGTCTGCTATCGAGATCAGAATTATTCAGAAATTTATAGAAAGGAAGAAAAAATTGTTTCCTTTTTCTGACTTTCTGGATTTATTGTTTTTGCGTTCTTATGGCTTTCTAGAGTACACGTTAATACATTCCTTACTCATCAAAGGTCCAAGAAGTCTTGACCAATATAAGTGTCATTGTATACTCTGTTGTGTATCAGGAGTTGTTGATTCCCCTCACAAAGATGCTGAGATGCTTACATTAAATTGTCCAATTTTGTCTCTGCGCTTGACAACGTAGAAAAATATGAGAAGGGGCTTCGTTTCTTCACTGTTTTTGAATCCCAGGTTTGACAGTAGTAACGACCTCACAGTTCACCTGTCTTCAGCAAAAAATGTACAGCATGCACACTGTCATGTCGATTTAAATTATGATATTAACGAATGGTTCTCAGCAATGCAAATAGCTTGATCTGTAGAGATTCTGGCGTCATTTTGGTTGTATATATTGTAGTCACCAATGCAGTCTGTGATCAAATTCAGTTCTTTTGATTTATGTGCTTCTTTTATCATTGTCATAACATGAAAACAAAAATAACATATATATATATATATAAAACTTTGAACAATATGTAAATTAAAAACATTTCCACACTGTTAAAATATTTAAATCAAGAAAGAAGTGCAAGGAAAGTATTTTTCTTGATACGTACGTAAGACTGAAACATGCCAACAGGGTTATTTTTTCATTTGTGTGAAGCGAAAGTTAAGTTGCAAATGAACAATTTTTAAAAATTCTAGTGTCATGCTTCTTATTCAATAAATTTGTAATGGTATGCATGAAAAATAAAGGATTTTTTTTCATGGAGACTTCAGTTGTTTAAGGTTTTGAAAAAGTGAATAATTGTCTTTTTTTGCATTTCACCTTTTTAATATTTGTAATAGTTAAATATTCCTTGAAAGAAATCTTGTGAACACCTGCTTCTTACTACATGTACTGTATATTTTTGCTTTTGTTCATAGAAAATTGAGCATACTACTGTGGTGTGCAACAGTAATTTTCTGCAGTAACGATTTCAGAAGACGTTTTATTGATGAAGTACGTAAATTATTGAAGCATTATTTTTGGTCTACTATTGCGTACTCATTGATTGTACAGCACATACTTGTAATGTTAATGTTGTGTTTTAGTTTTACCTCGACAAATGTAGTCTGCGGCATTCTCTTGTGTTCTAACTTTTGCAAGGCAGCTGGATGTGCCACAATAAAAATAAAAATGTCTCAGGGAAGAATAATTTTCTGATAGAAGTAGAACAAGTAAAAATAAAAAACAAGTGCATGTTACTTAGTTTTTCTTTTGGCAGGGATTTTTATTTTACCAGGTGCGAAGTGTGAGTGTATGGGAAATAATGTTTATACTTTCATTTGACTTAATGTAGTCAGTTGTCAAGGACTGCTCATAGCATGAAGAATGTAGGGTGTTTAGGCTGTGTAAACAGAACATGTTAGAGCTAGAAGACTGCCAAAGTACTTTAAAAAACTTGTACTTTTCAGGAAAGAAAGTCTCATAGTTTCTTCAGGAAATAACAAAAACTTGTTAAAGATCAACAATCTATTGGTGGCATACAACTGAAAAAATTATTGCCCCTTGTAAACTTTAGTTGGAATTACATTTCATAAGATCTTTTTTTTTTTCCTCCACTGTCTATATTTGTTGCACTTCAGCGCAATTCTGTTGTTATTGCATATTTTCATTCCTTTAATGTTTTTTTAGATATTTTTAATATTGATAGCTAAGCAGACTTTCTAGCAAAAAATGTTTCCGAACTAGAGAGTAATGTTCTCTGTTCATTTATTTTACTTCTGCACTCTGCGACTTTCACAGCGGATTTCCTTTGCACCAAAGTTGTACTTTTTGGGAGACCAAATAGAAAGGACTTGTTCTTGTTTTGTAGCATTTTAACATGAATTTGTGATTCTCTTTTTTAAGAATATCTACCTTTTATTTAAATCATTATCTTGTGCATAGTGTTTGGGCAGGTTTCCAAGCACTTTTTGTAATGTGAAAAGCACTTCTTTGATAAATGGACATTTCATCCAAAATGACAAGAAAGTGTTTTTCTAATGGAGAGTAAACAAAAAGATAATGTAGTATATGGCAAATACAAAATATTTATTTTTATCTCTGGGCTTTTATCAGATATGTACAAGGCATTAATATTTTTGTTTGCCAGAAAAATTTATTTAATGTTGAGTAAGGGGAAGAGAGTAACAATTGCAAATTTCAACAAAATTTCAAGTGGTGGAGGGGAGTGCTGGACTGAGTAGAGAATCTTGCGGTGTTCTCTAAATTCTGAAAGTAAAGCCGTTTATTTTTGCAGTCCAAAAATGAGGAAGTGGTGCAGGGTTTGTGATTGGTTATGATTAGATCTTTCACGGAACATTTACCGGTGCTGTCGCTTTGGCTTGAATTGTCTGATGAACATGGGAGTGGCTTTAGTATGGCATGATTTTTTGATTTTTGTCTACGAGATCTGAGGAACGAGTACCTTTCATATGTGTTGCTGTGTTGTTCAGATTTATATTCTTTTAAAATTATTATTTT